TGAGCTTGCCGGGCGTCTTAGTGAAGACGCCGTGGTAGGAGCCGTCGTAGTTGGCACCCAACACGCGCAGACCGCCGATGAGAGCAGTCAGCTCAGGGGCGCTGAGTGTAAGCAGGTTGGCCCTGTCGACAAGATACTGCTCGGTGCGAGCTCGGCCCGTGCCCTTGCCGTAGTTGCGGAAGCCATCGGCATAGGGCTCCAGGTGTGAGAAGGAGTTGACGTCTGTTTGCTCCTGAGTAGCATCGTTGCGCCCGGGAGTGAATGGAACCTCGACTCCGGCGGCCTGCTCGAGGGCAGCAACACCTCCGAGGACGATGAGATCGGCCAGGGAGACCTTCTTTCCGCCCGACGCAGAGCTGTTGAACTGCTGCTGTACGCCTTCGAGAGCCGACAGAACCTCGGCAAGCTGGGGAGGGTTGTTCACCTTCCAGTCCTTCTGGGGAGCGAGCCGGATGCGCGCACCGTTGGCGCCACCACGCTTGTCACCACCACGGAATGTGGATGCGGAAGCCCAAGCGGTAGAGATGAGCTTGGACGGGGACACGCCAGTCTCGAGAATCTTCTTCTTGAGCTCGGCGATGTCGCTCTTGTCGATCACGGGGTAGTCAACAGGAGGGATATAGTCCTCCCAAGGCAGGACCTCCTTGGGAACCTCGGGGCCGAGCCAGCGGGAGCGGGGACCCATGTCACGGTGGAGAAGCTTGAACCAAGCACGGCCGAAAGCATCGGCGAACTTGGACTCGTCGGCGAGGAAGGCCCGAGCAATCTTCTCGTACTCAGGGTCGAAGCGAAGGGCAAGATCGGAGGTGAGCATGCGGGGGAGGTGCTTCTTGTTGGAGTCGTAGGCATCGGGAATGGTGGGCTCGGCGTTCTTGGCCACCCATTGGTTGGCGCCAGCAGGGCTCTTGGTGAGCTCCCACTCGAACTTGAAGAGGTAGTCGAGGAAGTCCATGCTCCACTTGACAGGAGTCTTAGTCCAGATGACCTCCAGCCCGCTGGTGATCGTGTCGGGGCCCTTGCCAGTGCCGTGCTTGTTCTCCCAGCCGAAGCCTTGGGCCTCGATGGGCGCCGCCTCAGGCTCCTTGCCAACGTTGTCGGCAGAAGCCGCGCCGTGAGTCTTGCCGAATGTGTGACCACCAGCAATGAGGGCGACGGTCTCCTCGTCGGTCATGCCCATGCGGCTGAAGGTGACGCGAATGTCCTTGGCCGAAGCAGCTGGGTCGGGGATGCCATCAGGACCCTCGGGGTTGACGTAGATCAGACCCATGTGCACGGCAGCCAGGGGCGATTCCAGCTCGCGGTTGTGGATGTCCGTGTGTCCCTTCTTCGACTCGTCACCGGGGACGATGCCCTCGCCCTTGAGGCCGGGGTTGCCGCTGGCATAGCGGACATCATTGCCCAGCCACGTCGTCTCCCCACCCCAGTAGGCCGACTCGTCAGCTTCCCAGGTGTCGGGGCGGCCACCGGCGAAACCGAAGGTCTTGAAGCCCATCGTCTCGAGGGCCACGTTGCCGGTAAGAAGGAGCAAGTCGGCCCACGAGATCTTGTCGCCGTACTTTTGCTTGACGGGCCACAGGAGGCGGCGCGCCTTGTCGAGGCTGACATTGTCGGGCCAGCTGTTGAGGGGAGCAAAGCGCTGCTGGCCCTGGCCACCACCGCCGCGGCCGTCGAAGACACGGTAGGTGCCGGCACTGTGCCAGGCCATGCGGATGAAGAGACCGCCGTAGTGGCCAAAGTCGGCAGGCCACCAGTCCTGCGAGTCCGTCATGACGGCGGCAATATCCTTCTTGAGGGCATCGTAGTCGAGCGACTTGAAGGCTTCCGTGTAGTTGAACTTGTCATCGTAGGGGTTGGTGACGCTGGTGTGCTGACGGAGGATGTTCAGGCGCAGCTGGCTGGGCCACCAGTCCTCGTTCTTGGTGCCGCCGCCACCGACGTTGGAGTGCTTAACCGGGCATTCACCCATGGTGTCGAATCGCGCTTGCGAGGCCGATGCTGAGTCAAGGTAGTTCAGGGAGTAATGAGGAAGCTCGAGATCTGTCGTGCAATGGACGAGCAGAAGACGTGGTTGTAAGAGGGAGAAAGAAAGAGGACAAGCAGAGCTCAGGAATTACCCCACTGCACCTTCTTATCCGCTTGAACCATCACACCATTCAACCCCGCAATTCTCTCTGTCCTAACAACAGCTACGAGCAAACGCGTGTTACCCCGCCGTCTCGTCGTCTCTGGTCAGACAGCTGCGTGTACCCAAAGATGGAGCGGTAACTGTTATCACGGGTACTTTCGCCACGCCGGCCGGAGCGTGTCTGGGCTGGTACCGGCGATACGCCACCAGCGCTCGGAGATTCGGGCGGGAACGGGAGGTCGTAGGTGGGGTTGTGGCCAATCCAATGAGAGTCGTGCCGATTACAATTGCAATCCTCCCGCCATTGCGTTTCCAGAACCGTTTGGAAAGCGAGATGGGTTGCGTCGGACCTTGGCGACTTCCATGCTGGTCCGATCCGCGGCACGGCACGGTATCGCTTCAGATTCTCTGTTCGTTTTTTTTGTGGCACATTGACGTTGACCGCTCAACATCGGTGGGGGTACTTTTGCCACCGGCGCGACACGTCTTTGCAAAGCCGGCGGATGGCGAAGGACGGCGGCGACCAGCGACGGGGAACGACGCGACTCCCCGTGATGTCGCGGTGAAGCTAAGCAGGAGGGGTTCGACATGGCGGGGCAGCAGGGTCCACAGTGGGTCACACCCCCTGGACCCTTACCCCGCCGCGCCACCCCCAGCATCGTGGTTTGCGGTGCTGATCAGGGTCAGGGGCAACGGTCGCACAGACCGTTGGATGAGGGGCAGCGACGGATGCAGATGTAACAATCATCAATGTCGTGTTGATGATCTTTTTTAACACATGTAGTAGTCAATGGCTGTACGGACTCATGATAGTGCTAAACATGAGCTTCGAAGAGGAAACATTGCTGTTGCCGAGTACGGAATGATCACGACCTGGCCCACCGGGCCCCGGGGATCTTCGTTGGTGGACCCCGCACAAGGAAGCCGGTGCTCGGGTTGTTGTATCCGGGATACGTTTCTCCTGCGGTCTGTCACGCCGACCATATACCGATCGCTTGATCCATCCGATCGGCCGAAGAAAGATTTCGGAGCTAATGAGAAATCAATCTCGACGATGTGTCAAGGTTCGCAAGGATGGCGAGTGAGCGCAGTGCTCTGTTTGCAAACCGACCCCGCATTTCGGTGTCGAGGCCGTGGTGACGCCGCACACATCTGTAAAGCAACCCATCAGTCGCAAATCGTCCGCTTCTCATTGAACATACCACTGACAGAGCATATTACTGATCATAGCGTTGGGGATCATCGCCTCAGTAAGGCCAAAATGCATACCGTGAGTTTGGTCGCTGACTGAGCTTGCCGTGGCTCGATGAAGCGCCGGGCGGGACAACCGGATAGCAATCGGTACTTTCTATGCCACACATATGTCTAGACATATAGACGCTGACGATCAACAACTGTCCCATTGGCTGTGTAGTTAACTTCGGTTTCTCAGCTGGGCCGAATACAACTTGGAGATCTTGGCCGCTCGGCACAGATATACAACATAACGGTAGGTCAGTGTTTAGTGATAGCATCAGTAAGTTTATTGCTGATACCTCCTCATTCGCGATTTATGAAGTAAGGACCTTTGTCAGTGTCACTCAAGGCGATATACCGGCTTCATGGGATTGGAAGTTGCAAACATGACAAAACTGGGGAATCGTCACCGGCCCCACCGTTCGCCTCCGTGCTGCAACATTTTCAGACGTCGTCTGTCCACAAAACGAAACGTGACAACGCCGGCAGCCTGTCATTCTCAGTATGGATTCCTCCGCAGAGTCTACATCGTCCATGTCAACATATCCTATCGACGAGGCCACCCTGAAAGCAGTGTACGCCTCCGACCAGGAAATGTACCCCGCGCCGCTCCCCTACGAGCGCCTCCAAGCATGGGTTGAGTCAAGCGGAGGCTTGTCCATGTGCTTCAAGAACCCAACAGATCCCGCGCAAGGCTTGATCGGGGTCATAATCACGCTACCCGTAAAAGAGACATACTGGCGGAGGCTGCTTCGAGGGGAGATCAAGGAAATGGAGATCGTGCCAGAATCCATGCTCGCTTCGCTACTCCAAGGGAATGCGACCCAGAAAGTCGGACTGCACGTATCCCACGTCGAGCGTTTCACGGAATCCGAGCCAGGTGTGAGAGGAGGATTCGCCGCAACTGCCTTGGACGAGGTGCTCGGACGAGCAAGGTTGCGGACGGACTGGGAGGTGGTCGGATTATCCGGTAGGAGAAGACTTCAAGTTCACTTCCTAGGTACCATCTGCTGACGAAGAAGCCCTCACCGCCACGCCGGCGGGGAAGAAGACCTTCCAGAGATTGGGGTTCGAGCCGACGGGATACAGGGAGACATTCATCCAGCGTGCGACTGAGGGAGACAGCGCCGCGTCGATGGAGGGGGCCATTGAGATGATCTGCACGTATCCGGGTGATGAGATGGAGACGCATATCGAAAGCTCCTGTATTGTATCGGCATCTGAGATGGCCGTTAGGTACTGCTATCCCTGAATTTACACAAGACTCGCCGACCAAAGGGGCGGCTGAATTGCCGGTATACGTAACCACATGATATGCAATGGCGTGGTGGCAGAGTGGTCTAATGCGCAAGACTAGAAATCTTGTTCCTTCGGGAGCGTCTGTTCGAATCAGGCCCACGTCGAAAGTGCTTTGTCTGTGTACCCTGGCACACGGACTCGACTCATCTTTTTTTGTCTTCCTCACTACCTCCCAGCTGATCACCAGGAACTTTTTTTGAATGATGTCAGAGCCTGCGATTGCATTTGAGTCTTCCTGAGGTGGTACACAGGTGCGTGGTTCAAAAAAAAAATTGGAACACGGATCCCACTCCTGTCTGGGTCTCCGGGATGCCTGGCAAAAAGAAGGCATCGAGGTCATCTCTCCCGCCGGGAATTGAACCCGGGTCTCGAGCGAAGTCTTCCTAGAAGGTTGACAAGCTCACATACTGACCACTATACTACGGAAGATTGTTGTGAATGTGCTGCATTCACCGTAGAATGGTTCTGCCTGGACTCGGATACGGGGAGTCGAACCCCGGGCTGCTGAGCGTCTCTGAAGTTGAGAGTCAGCGATGTTACCGCTACACCATACCCGATTGTTGGAATTTGGTTGTCTTAAGCGCACTTATGAAGGGAAGGAAAATTCAGTGGGATGGAGACTGGAAGGTAGGAACAGTGGGTACAACCCACATCGGCTGGAACCCAGCCAGCCAGCTTCTGACTCGTCAACATCTCCACCATGTTTGTCCCCGACTACGGCCCCGGCGAGAATGCTCCGAAGAGGAGGTTGGATGGCAGTAGTGATGACAACATCTCTTGACAAAATGTTGTCATTCAGCAGCGACTGGCAACAGATCCCCTGCACAGGCTGAGGAGGGTGTGCAACGCGATCTGCAATTCTACGGAAATTGCCCGTCTGTGGTTGGCCGGCCTCGACGAGATCAGGCTTGCGCTGCCTGGTGCATGACAGGCTGTCCCGATTGTGGCTGCTTTTCGGGAGCCAGCTGTTATTAGCGGAGAGAATGATGCTGTGTCCTCAGAAACTGGGAAGGCCCTGTTCCGGCACTGTGGACGTCTGCAGTTTTCCACCCGTGCGACGCCAGGGGACTGGAAGCTTTGATGACAAGCATTTGCCGAGACATGTCTCTGGATCTTGGGTAGTATTTGATTCCGATCGTGAGGAAACATTTCCTAGATCTCTGGACTTAACTGCTATGGGGTAGCTTTCAGTTTCGAAGAAGGGCGTGATATACCCAATGGCGTGTCGAGACATGAAGGGACCCGATGGCGGTTTCAACAAAAACTGGTCAGGTCGGAACCTCGTCCTAGGTTCCAGCGGCTACCGTCTTCAGCCACCTCCGTCAGAAACAGCACACCATCAGCCTCTTAACGGGTAGGTGCATACCAGGGGTCGATTTTCAAGAAAGCCCCCTTGCTATTCAAGTTTGCGGCCACGGATAGAGACTGAACGTTTTCGTGATGACTTTGACAATTCGCCGATCAATTCCTCACTGAGAACCAGTGTGGCCCTGGCCGTGAACTTGACTTCTCCGAGGATACCAGAATCAAGCGGTTGAAGCGAGAGCAATCCAAGTATATAAACACAGTCCAGCTCCGTCTATGTGAAGGAAAAACAACCACAGAACAGCAGCAACAGTCTCATCCAGCCTTCTCCAGTCAGATCCAAAACCGAGCAACCGATCTCCAACAACCCGCTTCTCTCCATCCCAAATCCCCATCAGCAAACATGCAGGTCCTCACCATCACCACCCTCCTCATCACCGCCATGTCCACGGCCGCTGCCCCGGCACCGGCGGCCGAGGGAAATACCCTGGTCGCCCGGGGCGGCACCCCGGCGCCCAGCTGCGCCGACAAGCCGGGCACGAAGCCCGTCTGCTGCGACGGACTCGTCCCGCTGGCGACCTGTACCGTCGTGGTTGCCGGTAAAATCTGCGGCTCTACGGCGTGCTGCGCCACCACCACCCAGAATACTGTGAGCTAGACTGACAAGCTCTATTGGAATAATGTTAACGTAACGGTTTAGGGAGCCACGCTTGTCAACGTCAACATCGGCCAGATCTGCGTCCTCTGAGGCCGTCCGTGCTGCCTTGCCGGTCCCGTAAAGGCCAGGGGCAGGCCACGGGCAGGGTATGGGGTGGACAGTATGGAAAATCGGGGAGACGTTTTTGCGGTTGTGGACTCTTTTCTGTTTGCCCAGGCCTGGGATGTTGTAGTAGCAGCCTATCCTTGACTTTCTTATCTTCTTTCTTTTCAATCTAATCTCGTTGCCGGCTAAACCTGCATCAATAAAGGGATCGTGAGACGTTTTTGAATGCCTTCCTTGCGCATAAATCCACAGCTTGTTCTTTTTCGGCACGGGTTCTCGTCTTACATGTCTGAGTGTACACTGTCCATGTCACTCTCAACAGCAACCCATTCGCTCCCAGCTATACTCCCCTCCGTCCAACTCCTACATCCCTGAACAAACTCCCACTCCAAGTCCGCCGGTTCAACCCTCCCCCTTTCCCCATCCAGATTCCCAGACCAATCATCAACCTCCATCCCCATCACCTCCCCCGTCCCCTTCCTCCTTCTTTTATCCCTCCTCCTCACCCACCGCAGACTATAAACCACCCTCTCAATATCCCCCATCCCAAAATCCTCGGTCCTCTCCTCCTCCCACGGCGCCCCATCCCCCATCTCTTCACCCATCTCCTCCCCAGGAAACCAAACCTCCCTATCCCTCGCCTCAGCACACCCCTCCTCCCGAAAGGCAGTCCACCCCCTCCGCCACGCCTTCAAAGGCCCGACATGCATCAGATCGTAACAGCAATCGCATGTATACCGCACGACGCGATGGCGCCGCGCATGCGCCTCGAGGAGCGTGATAAAATGCGGTTTCTCAATCTTTTGTGTTTGATTTTTCGTGGTTTTGGTTTCCGAGTCCGAGTCCGAGTCGGACATGTCATCAGAGGTGGTCTTTTTCCACCGGTAGGCGCGGAGGTCGCCGTCGATGCGCATGATCTTGCGGCGCGGCCAGGGGAGGGGGTTGCGGTGGTGTTTGCCGCGGGGGTTGTTGTTGGGGTTTGCGGTGCTGGGGCGGCCTTGGATGTAGCGCGTTGTTTGTGGTGGGATGAGGGAGGAGTCGAATGACAAGGTTTCGAGGGACATGGTGGTTGCGGGGTGTTTTTGATGGATATGGTGGTCTCCCCCGAGCTTTTTGGGTACCTAGGTTCCGGATCGGCGGTACGCTGACACGGAGTCGTGGAGATGTAGGTCTCCGCTCCGGGGATGATGTTGAGAGTTGAGACTGAGAAATACGGGCACAGATTTTGCGATAGGTTGATTTTCGCACGTTTTATATCCGCAAAGGAGAGCATCTCACTGTGATCATGGGGGTGCAGCGGCCAGCCGAGTTGGGAATGGCGCGGCCGTTGAGGACGGCGAGGACTCCAACGCCACATCCGCACCGGGTCTTGGCAAGGCTGAACGGCGTCGGGGAAATCCGGGGTGCTGACGGCAAGGATGCCGATGGTTGATCTTTTTCCCTTTTCAGATTCGAATTCAAACGACACGCCTTAAACCATCAAAGTCAAACCCCTTTGTGCTGAGACAGGATGAAATTGATTTTGGTATTGACCTGCTCTCGTCTCACTTCACTTACACGCCCTCAATACTTTGCAAACGCAACCTCGCCGTTTCCGCTGAACCAATCCTGCCCAGCATCAACAGCCGCGACGTGACCGGCCAGCTCCAGCCCCTTTTTCCTGCGTTCCTGAATTTGTTCCTCCTCGCCCTCAGGAAGCAGCCCACAAGCACTCAAAAACTCCTCCGGGGGCACCGTCTTGCCGGCCCGCTTGATGACATACTTGGAGATGCACGTCGCAAACGGAACAAACTTCTGCTCCTTCTTCTCGTCGGGAGCCTCCTCGGCGCGCCACGGCTGGTCAGAATACCGCGACGGCCGCGCCAGACCAGCCCGAACAAAGTGCGACACGAGATAAATCCACTTGTCGTCCCAGGTGAGCACGCGCGTCCAGATGTCGACCTTTTCGAACGGGCGGATCTCGCGCTTGAAGGTGCAGGTGATCCCTCCCAGGGCCGGGAAGACGCGGCGGCCCTGGTCGGCGTACCGCTTCAGGCCCTCGCGGAAGAGACAGAAGAAGTGAGCGCCGCGGGCCATGTCCAGATCGGAGAGGTAAGTCGAGTTGGACTTGTGCATGCTCATGTCGAGATCGCCGGGGGGTGTGGTAGTAGCATAGATGGTGGGTTGGAAGATGGTTGGTGCATCTTGACCTGACTTAGAGATTGGGCGGTTGTTGAAGTGGTAATGTCGGAGGTAGGCGTACAAGATGCGGATCTGACATTGTCAGCTTGAACACGGTCTCCATGTTTACAACGGATTGCCATACATGCCATGCAAAAGGGAGAGCTTTGGAAGCAAAGATCCCGTACAGGAGAAAGACGGCCAAGAACGGCGGGCCAAGCCAGGAGAGGAGGCCAAAGACCTGGGCCAAGACGACGGAAAACATGTTGGCGGACAACATTCTGGGGAAATCAACAACAGAGACACAAGGTCACGTCTAGCAAAAAGCACAGTTGAAACAGGCAACTCGTCGACTTTCAACAAGGTTGTTCCAACCACCTGGTAAGGCGTAAGGAACACGGGCCGTTGGGGGCCCGTGTTTTAACGCGGAATACGGCACGCCAATAAATGCTACGCCGCAAAACGGCTTGCCACGGTTCCATGGGACAACCTGCCGACCCCAGACCCGCCCCCCTCCCCCCTTCCCTCGATCGCATCGTTAATTTTCTCGATTTGCGGAAGGAGGCGAAATACCAACCAGATGAGCAGGAGAAGCATCCACGAGGCACAGAATGGCAAGTGGGTTGTAATTTACGCGATGCCAACCGCCGGCACAGCACCGCATCATCCCTAGGCATTGGGACGGAACACATACACCCAACCGACCGGTCAGTGCCCTGTCTGCCCCGTCAGCAGTCCGGGAACATCCGCTGTCCGAGCACACTCCTTGCTTGGCGATTTCTCATTGTTTGTACGATCGAACGACACCGAGCTGTAGGAAGCACGCACCACTGCACCTCCGCCGAATCGAGAAAAATTTCTCAAACATTTCTGCCCTGCTTAGCCTAGCCCAGCCCGGCCTGCCTGCCACCCACTTGAGAAGGCACCAACAATCCTTCTCGATGCGACTCTGACTTTGCTCGCTTACGCCCAAGGCGACCACCACCTTTTTCCTCTCTTGTAAGTCTCTCTCGTGTGAAAGCGTATCCTTGGCGTGGATCCGTCTGGAAGCGTATCCGTCCATTTCCGTCCGTCCACTCCCAGCAAGTCGGGCTGTGCCGCCTAGCCGTCGGCCGTCAGCCGCTGTGCAGCTGTGTAAGGTAGGTATCGTACCTTTGTTGGTACCCTAATAAAGTGAACCCGAGAGCGAGGTAGGGCAGCC